TAAGACAGTCAGAAACAATATCCAATTTGGAATGTCCTGCAGCAGTATTGTCTTGTTGTTAACTCTTGTCATATTTCACTCATTGGGTTTGAAAATGGAATGTGATGAATGACTACAGTGTTTTGCTCATAATGTCTCATGCTGGAGCTTTCTTTGAGAGTAATACATTTTCTTTACTTCGTGATGGGTCATTGAGGAGGAGGCGTGGGTTTTCTCCTAATGTTAGAAAAAGTTACTAGAATGGCAGTCACAAAGAGGAACCCTCAAAAAATATTATGGATAAGATACTTTAAGAATATTAAGTTCTCGTTTTGCTTTAATCTTGATGTATTTAGCAGCAGTGTGGAATAATCAAACCTAAAATATTTTGATATTTCTCACATATATCTACCTTAAAACATAACTGATCATGATACAAGCCTATCAAACTTTTACAGACAATCAGATTTTAATAAAACCTTTTTTTTTTCTTTTTGAGAAATAGACTCAAGCATGAAAACATGCACTTTGTGTGTTTGTGTGTGTGTGTGTTTAATATGATTAGGAAATTCAAATCCAGATGTTTTCTTAAAGGTTAAGACACATTTGAAACAACAAAGGAGGCCTTTTTTTCCCCCTCTGCATATCTTTAAAATGGGCCACTTTTGAAAGAAATTTCACAGCCCCATTTGCATCCTAATCGCAACCCATTTCCTGGGCCCACAGTTAGGCAGACTATAGAGTGGCATTGGGGATTTCTGGGGCAGAGAAGTTGTTGGTTCTAGCTGAGCTACTGAAAAATAAAAGGGAAAGAGATGAATGGATTTTTTGCTTCAGCAGTCACCAGCTGGCAGATCGGCTCCTTGGAGCACTGCCAAGCAGCAGTTTACAGCAGCCCTGCAGCTGCTCTAGGCTAGGCTGGAGCACGACTGGCACGAAGCCACCTTCAGCTTTGGACAAGGACTCAGCCTTCAAATTGGCAAACAGATGCATTGGGATTGTAGCTTTGCTCACTCATGTCTACTGGTCATAGAATGCAGTTGGTACCTAAAAGGCCACTGCAGAAAATTTTACATTAAACATTTACAGGAAGATAGGGAGAAATAGGTTAAAAATAAATGTTTAACTTTTTTGGTGGTGGTGGTGATGGTATGGCATATGTGGTTTTTACTTCTGTGCATTTCATTCTGGGACGTTTTTCTCATTCTGACCAGTTCATAAGGATCCTAAATAACTGTAAAATGGACCAGCAAGAAAACTCAATTGGATTGTATTCTTTCAAGCTAAATTATCTGAATTCATTAAATGAACAAGAACGTATGACTAATTTTAATTCTCTATGCTGTTACTTTTATAAGAATGTTAGAAGGATAGCAAAAAATAACTTGCATTAAAATCAGACCAGCATTGGACTTTTTATTGATAATATTTTGGTGGGAGAATAATGTCATTTGGGTGAAGACAAGGTAGAGGATTTCTTGTTGATTTTGACTCCCATCTGATCACTGTTCTCTCTTTTCCTGATTAGAAGATGTTCTTCAGTAATTTTTCATAGATAACAACAATAGTATTGGGTTTTTGGCAGTGTTTCTATTAAAATCTCATTTGATATCTAACTATGCATCTGATGGAATGAGTCTGTCTTTCCTTGTTAACCATCCTATTACCTTATTGCTGGGGTTATGGCCAAACCCCTGTCCTAGAATACTGCTGGCATATTCTGAATTTCTTTTGATATTTTAAAATCTAGATAAATTAGTTCTTAATTTGTCACCACCTGGTATTTGTTTAATTATTTAATAGAAGAGGAATTTCAGCAAGTTACAGCTTCACAAAACTAAGAGCTTCCCTAACCACATATATATTATTAAATATTTATTGATACATAAACACAAACTCTCTGCCCCCATTACCCAAGAACCAGAAGCAAGTATTTTGTAGACCTACAAACCAACATTTATTTTCTAAATTGAAAATATTTCATGTGAAATATAGCCTTGATAAGGAAGAGCAAAGAAACACCACAGTGCCAGATAGTCATAACAGCATTTCATCAAGATCAAGTTAAAAAGCATTATAAAAAAATCATGTAATCATGCCTTGACCTTTTACTGGTACTGATTTTCAACAGTATGCCTTGCTTTGAACATGCTTCTGCAGTTTTTATTTTCAAGATCATTTGATTCTTCTCTATTTACTTTAAAACCCTCCTAGTTGGTACGAATAATTTCAAAATAATTTTTTCCCTAAAAGTTTTTATTTTTTATTCTATTTCAAGAGGCAACAGTAACTGCTAAGGAATTCTTAAGATTATAAGATAACTTGTATCCAAGACTTCTAGCAATGGTCATGCTTTTCAATGGAAGTGACCTGTGTAGCCAAAACCACAAAGGTCTACAGCAACATGTTTAAACTCTGGTTATTCACATGTCATGCTGCTTATGACCGAGTAATCTCACTGAATGAAGACAAGAACAAGAATATTTACTGATTAAACAGATACATTACATGCTTTTGATGGCACAGAAATAGCAGCTGTAAGAAGAGAAATGGTTCTTAATCGCTAGACTTTTTAATGAGTAGTGTATACAACCAGGACAAGCTTTGAGATGTTTTTATTAAAGCAAATATAAACTGATCAGTCTGCAATATCAGTATCTATTTTTGTGAGTTTTGGGAAAAGATTGTGATTTCCATAAATTGGAAAGCTGTCCTTGGAAATTACTAACCAAAAGCCTAATATAAAAAGAGAAGGCTCTAGTAAGTAGGGGTTTATAGTGTTTGATAATATTCATTTGCTACCAGGATGATGGACTAGAAATTGTTCTTATTAAACTTATAGCTTACATGAAGTTGGGTGGAATGGAAAACAGGTTAATAAATAAAACTGGAATTCAGAATTACCTTGATACATTAAAGATTAAAGGAAAAATTATGAAATTCAATATAGACAAAATAAGTATTATGTCTAAGTGACAATAATCAGCTGAACTTAGAAATAATTTTGTAGGAAAAAATCATGGAACTAATGTGGACAATTAAAAGAAGAAGATGAAGAAGTCCTTCATAGGATTAATTCTGCATCTTCTGCTTCATAATGGTGGGGGATTACTTTAGTACTGTACTCTTGGGCCTTCTGCCTAAGGTAACACATGGTGGAATTACTGAAGGGAATCTATAGAGCAGACAAGTGTGAATGACTCATGGTCTAGCAGATGAGTCCTATGAGAAAAGATCAACACGTTATTTTTTTATTCTAGAGCAGAGAAGATTAAGGGGTTGCTTGACAGCATTCTTTGAAGACATAAACAGGTATTCAAGATCAAACAGCAATTCTTTCATCATTTCCATGGCAGAGAGAGAGAGAGAAGGAATAGACTTGAATCTCGAGAATAGACTAGAAGTCCCACCATGAGGTTCCTCTAAGGTTCTGTATCAATCTTTAGGTTGTCAAAGGGCATAGGGTGACATATGATAACTCCAGAAACATTCCCTTAAAATAAATGCAGGGATTTTGGGCAGGGCATTAAATTTGACTCCTTTGTCAAAGTAGGAAGATTTTATTTACTGAGATAGATAGATAGATAGATAGATAGATAGATAGATAGATAGATAGATAGATAGATAGATAGATTAAAAAATTATCTGTTAAAAAGTGGTTGAATTTATAGACAAGTATCCCCAAGATTGATTCCCTAGGAATCAAATAGAATTTCATTTCATCATCTATGTCCGGTTAGCATAAAAACTGAAATAATGTTTTCCAGAAGTGTTCTACTCCCATTTATGAATCTGGATGCAATCAACACTGAATAAAGTGGAAAAAAAATTGATGCTCCAGTACTCATAATTTTTTTAAGTATTATCTCTGATGCCTAAAATTCACTACAATCCTTGTATCCAACCCTGCGTAGAATCATGACCTTTCCTACACAAAAAAAAGGATTTAAGCTGTCAATATCGACTGTATCATAATTCTGTTGCTTAAAATAGAAATGCATGTGAAGTGATGCAACTCATTCCGAAACAATATATCCAAGTTGCCTATAGAATCAGGGAAGCATCCTGAAATATTTTTAGCAAAATATTGTTGTAAGGCTTGGCAGTATTTTTTCTTCTCTCAGCTTTATTTTGCAACGTCAGAGCCCATATATTAATGTAAATGTCAAGAATGCTACTATGTCATTTTAGAGCTCTATTGCAGAAAACCTAAATGGAGTTAAATTGGACTTTAGTTGTGGTTTAACTAGTTGCTTTAACCGGGGAAAGTGTACCACCATCTCATCCCCAGGCAGGTGTTCTATGGAAGACAGTATGAAGTATCACACTAGTTACATGCTGAAAATCTGCAGTGATCATTGCCATGTACAGATAGATTGCCATCATTTAAGCCAAATCAAATGCATGCATGATTACACAGCATCAGAAGATGGTAACGTGCAGGAATCCTTCTTACTTTGTATTTTTCCAGGCAGCTGAAATAAAATTATTGCTCTGCATTTGACCTGTAAATATGCAACAAAACATCTGAATTCAAGGGAGAATGAGAACCGAGCATGTTCTAAGCCTAACCAAGGCGTGAAGATAGTTATAAAACATGTTCTTTAGATTTTTTGAGAGCATTAAGTGTTGAACTGTATGCAATGAAAATTCTCAGTGTTTCATCATGTGAAATGCTTTTGAAAATCTGTTTACAATTCATGGAAACTTTTTATGCAGTTATTATGTTCTAAAAAAAAAATCCTCCTTTGATCTAAACTATGTTTTTTAAAGAAAATGCCCAAATCTTTACCTATAGTAAGGATTTTTCAATGTTAATGTTGTTAAATATGAATGAATAATACTTCTATTTTATGCTGGCAGTGCCTTGGAACTTTTACCAGAGTTGAGAGTCATCTTTCGTTTTAGTCTGCCAGACCCATGTGCTGGGTCTACAGAAATGTGTAGTGACAAGTGTTTTATATACTCTACATCATTTTTCTACTGTGTTCTTTACTAATACTTTTGTTTTGTCTCCTCAGACTACATATCCAATCAGAATGGTGAGCCAAAATCTCAGCACAAGGGACAGAAAGTCAGCACATACTCCCACCGAGGACCCTTTTAGACACCCATCAGGCAACCAAGCAGCAGCCTACGAAAGCGAGAGCTGTCAGCTGTCTAATTTGTGTCTGAGCAACCTCTTAAAAGAGAAGGAGATCGTGGAAGTCATCAAGCATACTAGAGGCACGTATGAAACCCTGTCTTCAGAGGTCACCCAGAATGGTTTGGCTATCACAGCACCGAGTACAGAAAAGCCAGCATCCAAGGCAGACAGCTATCCAATGTTCTCAGGGGCTCCAAAAGACCAAATGGCTGTACCTCGACAGCACACCACCTTCACAGGGAGACTTGGACAGCCTCCGAGGGGACCCATCTCTTTACACATGTATAGCAGGAAAAATGTTTTCCTCCACCACAATTTACACACAGCAGAGCTACAGACTTTAGGTCAACAAGATGGCTAACAAGGTGCTTATATTCTTGCCATGGAAGGAGAGTTGATTAAGGAGGAACATAAGCTCGCCTAGAACTCAGTCTTCACTTCTCATCTTGTTGCTACTTTCATGTGAAAAAAATAAAGTAAAAATTTAACATTTTCTGTAGGTTCCATACTTTCCCATCTGGGACTGAGGCAAAAGGATGAACGAGATGGTTGAATAACTAGCCTGATTTGTCATGCAGAAGTCACCATGGATATAATAAATGGGACCATTTGGCTGGCACTGCTAGTCCAATATTGGCAAAATATTTTTTCCCCTCCGTAAGTCACTATCGTTCCTGAAAGTTCTAGAAGATGATCTTTAATAATATCATGTATGTTTAATAAGATTACTGTTAAAGTAGATGTGAGGAATGAATAGATAAGTAATTAGTAAACCCTTTTGAATTCTATAGAGACTAGGGAAATAAGGAGTCAGAATTCTTTAAGGACCCTCTTTTTACACTTTTTTTTTCTTTTTTAATACAGTGATATTTGCTGACTTGTAGACATGTGTTACCACTTCCTGCTGTATGCATTCTATGAGTGCCTCATGCCATCAAAAATGGGTGAAAGACAAAAGAGGAGTCTTATTACCCAGGCCAAATAACCTGCATAAGTCAAAATTTCTGTAGGCTGTGTCATCAGCACTTAAGAACCCAGTTTATACCAACTCATCAGGTTTGCTACTCTTGACCTATTACACACAAGTGAGATTAATAATGCCTGGTCTCACAGGGGTATTAAATCATCTAATCACACCATATAACTTGCAGACCTGTCAGTAGCAAAAGATCTGGTTTTCCCCTCTCAGAAGTCTTGAAAACAGGCATCTGAGTCAAGTTACTCTGAACACGTGGCATATACTAAACACTACACTTAGTTTACAATCTCTCTGATGGAGGGTAATCTGTTTGCATTATAAAAGGACATACAGTTAGTAGTTTATAAATAATCTGGCACATATAAGTATGATTGAAGCAGATCTGAGGCAACTTCCCTCTCTCTTAACTGGTGATAAATTAAGAAAGCCAAGAGTGCAGCACATTCTCACATAAAGAAACAGACCAGTGTGACTTAACGGAAATAGCATATAATGAAAAACAAAGCTTTTATAGCCACTAAAAATCTGTAACTTTTGAAAGGTAAGTCACATAGAGCATATAAAATGAATTAATGATCCAATTTTACCTAGTGTTAAATTTATCTACTTCCCTACTTAATATTTAGATTAAGACAAGGATTGGTTAGATTAAGAAAAAAAAAAAAGACTATGAGCTTGGCAGATATTCTGCAAAGTGATTTCAGCAGCCTGAAATTTAAGGCTTCTGTTTATTGAGGATTTTATTTTGGGTAGAGCTGATTTTATTACGTTATCTGATGTTGAAGAGAGCAGGTTTTGTCTAAATATTCTGTAGTGATAATTTTGGGTATCCAGAGATGGATACATAAGAATGAAGACAAACATTTGCCAAAATTCTTCATGTTCATGTGTACGTTGCTACTGCCAAAACAGAATGTGCAAGAATTGCAAACACAGCTTGATCAAATTAACTGTGGGTATTCGACACTCCCAGTTCTGCATTGCAACTCATAATTTAAAGTCTACAAAAAAAGTTTAAAAAAATGTTAAGAGAATTTTGCTACTCAGAATCACTTTTTGTTTTTGAGCAATCTCTTAATGTCATGGTAGATTCAGAGGACAGCTGATTCCTACTAACAATTCATTTCAGTCTTGCTCATCTCAAAAGTTGATGTATGCAATTATATTTCAGATCTGTAAATAAATCAAACATATGCTGTAATGAAGGATTTTTTCCCAGTATACAAATGTACTATACTACATTAAAAAAAAAAAAAGTAAAATGCAGAAAACCCAAACCATAGCATATGTACTATAGCTATAGCTGTTCTTTTCCTGGAAAAATGGACTTTTGGATTACACTTTATTAAAAAAAAGAAAAATCCATCTATAAATTTCAAAAATAACATTTTAAATGCTACTATTTTCTTGGAGAATCTTTTATAGAGCTGAAACTTAAAAAAACCTGGAGAAAACAATTCAATGAAAGTGAAGGATATTTTTAAAATGTCATCTTGAAGCTGTTTTGTATCAGTATTTTCAGCATTGTTATGTTATTTGTAATACTAAGTGTAAATCTCACCCAGAGAAGGGTATTAGCCACATGTTAATGTATAGTACAGCAGTAACTGTAAAACAGGGGTCCTTTCTTTGATCCTCTTGTGTATATAGTAAATCATAAAGCAACAGCATGTGGACATTCTTGCAGTGAATTGATTCCTTTGTACTAAAAATCTCTAGTTTTTTAAGAGTTCCATGTATAAAATGATTTATACATTTCTCCAAGGCTGTACATATCCAAAGACATGACACCAGGGGGAAAAGGCATTTATTATTTTTTCCCATGGATGTACCTTTTTTCCCTTTTTTTTAATTTTCTGTTTCTGTACAACAAAACATAACTGCAAAGTTTCTGCTGAAAATTACTTCTTGTTAGTTCCTCGTCTTTTAGTGTGATAGAGGGCAATTTAAGGAGGAAAAAATCCCCAGAGAAATACTCTTTACATTTGAAGCAGTGTCCGTCCCATTTTTAAAAAAATCGCTTGGCAAAAGGAACCTTAGATCTGTGCCCTAAATATTTTTTTAGTAATTTAATGGAGCCACACCTGAAATGGCTTATCATCTCTAGACTTATCCTTACTTCCCTTACTAGAGTGCTTCTACAGGACATTGTTTATAAGGTACCATAACACACTAGAGCCAGCACTGGTCATAAATTATTGAGATGGAAGGAAAACACTTGTCCAGTACTGTTTTTACATTTGGCTTTCAGAGCAGTGGAAAGGGGTTTTTTGGTGTACCTTGTGCATGTGAATGAAGCTCAAGCTCTGTGCTTGTGCGTACTGGAAAGAGAAGTCTCACTATAAACCTCTCCGGTAATTTAGGCTGTTTAGCAGCATATGAAATGATCCAGCAACATCAATTTCTACCACCTTTCAAGACAGGCCAGGGTTCTATATATTAAATTAAACAACCAGAATACATTTCTTTACTTCAATACGGACTCTTACTGCTTTTCATTCCAAACTAGGCACGTGCACATAAATGTTAGAAGGGCTTTCCTTACATGATTTTTTTTCTGGATATTGTGACAGTGCATAGCCAGACTAAAATGTTCACATGATGATTAGATAAGTGTTTGAAAGCTTACCAAAATATTCACATTTGTCCTACAAGTTCATTACAGTCACTACCTAAAAATTGGTATTTTTCCCTTTCCTAAAAGCCAGTTTGGAAGTAGTGATTTCTGTCTGTGCTGATTCACTTTAAACTGTTAAATATGGTGCAAACCAATATAACTAAGGTATTTACAAATCAGTACTATAATTTATATGCCATTAAAGTTGTGCCATATCTCCACTGGGTTGATTGGTATGACATTGACTTCGATTAGATTATACTAAGTTAAGTCACCTGATGATTAGGATTGTGGCCTTTAATCCAACTAGTCTTACTTTACACTCAGGGCACTCTGAATTTGGAAATCTTTCCTAGTTCACAAAAAGGACAAGAAAATATTTTACCTAGCAAAAATGTCAGATCACAATCAGTGGTGAATTGCACTTTTTTTTAACCTTCTCATTCAAAAGCGAAAAATCCCCGTAAAACCCTTTGTATATCTACATAGGTCATAAGTAGAGTAACATCTAACAAAATGTTGAAATAAATACCTGGAGAAGAAAAATATAAGTTGTGCTATAACACACAGAGGTTATAGAACAGAAAATACTCCGCTGAGAAGATTTTTCTATTGCACAAATTACATCTCCTTGTATTCTGTGTTGTGACCCTTTCTGTGTCTTTCTGGATTTCATAAACATTTCCTTTAGGCATGGACTTGTGATGACTAAGTTGACAGGTTGCACCCCTGTGTTATTTCTATTTTAAGAAGGTTCTGCTGGATATTTTTTTTTTTTTAATATCTCACCATTAAATTAGTATTTTCTCCCAGAACTGTTGTGCTGCTGGTACAGTAGTAATGATGATGATGATGATGATGATGACAGTAGTAAGTACATTCACAGAAAATGTTCCCTTCCTAACTGTGAGGGCTCCAACTGCTTAGAGTTGATTTGCATCTACCCAAAAACTATCAAAATTACTTAAGCACCTGCATAAACGAATACATTGCGGGATTTGAGCCTGCTTTTGTCACATTGAAAAGGCCCTAGTAGGGTAATTTTAAAATGTATATGAATATCAACAATCGTGGTAGAATTTTTATTTATTTTTAATTTTCCATTATGTCAATGCACTTTATATGAGGGTTTAATATGAACTTATTAACTTGCATTATTTTTCTTGATTTCAGCAGGGTTCAGAATTCTCTACTTTAAGCATGTAAACAATCCCAAAAAAGTAAAACAGTCAAATCCCACTTTGAAAAAGTAACACACAAATAAATAATATTTTTTCTAACATAAGCAATTCCGTTCATATTTATTGTTTGCAAGGTATAATGTGTAAAAAGTATTTTTGCTTATATTTACATATAATTAGTCTTCAGAATGCCCAGATAAGTCAAAAGATAAGAAACTGCCTTTGTACTAAAGTCACTTGTCCAGTTATACCATTGGGCTTTGTTTACCAAATCATTAATTAAAAAAAAAAAAAAAATATTTCCTTCCCATGGTTAAGAGTGCGAAAAAAAATAAAATGTTTTTGTACATGCTCTACAGATTCTGTGTAGAGCTGATCAATATTACAAGGAGAATATAAGCAATCAAAGTTCTTAATCAGTGATGCATCTGATGTTGTTTAAGCAAGAGGATCAACAGTATATAAAAATCTGTTTAAGAGGAGAACAGATGTTTTGTTGCTCAGAAAAATCTAATGGAAGAGTAAAGGCTGAGAGATTAATAACTCTTTTTCTGTTCCAGGGCTGGTCATGCATAGCCATTTGCTGTGAAATACGCTGAAGCAATATCTATAAAGTAAATCTATTGGAATAACAAGAAATGAGATAAAATGATCATGTAACAGCACAAAGTATGGTTAAGGGTACTTCCATAATTTGATCAAACAGCATCTGAGTGAATTTACATCTTTTTATTACCAGGGTATTATCTTTATCTGAAGGATAAGTGTAAGCAGAACAATGCAATTGTGTTGTAACATAGAAATGATTCCGGAAAAAAAAAGATTCTATCCCTAAAGACTTGCACTGTGTACTGTCTTTTCTAACTATCTGAAGTAGGTTTATGTAATTGTATTCCATGCAGCCATGGTAATGCCATTACACTGGCTATCAGCCTGCTCTGAAAAATAAGTAAACATTGAAGAGAGTCGACCCAGACCCTACATCAAGAGCTGCATTTATTTAACAGGGTTGCAGTTTTGGTTTTCCTTTCCAATAAAGGACAGAGATTCTTGTGAGAAAACCATACAAACTTCTCCACAAACAGTTTGGCCTCTGTGAACTTCAGACTGATTTGGGGGAAAATTAAAATTATGATTTTACAAAATTGATT